GGCCCTGGAACGGGGATAAACCCCATCCCCAAGGGTCATTCCCAGGTTAGACTCAGCTCTGAGTGCTGCTGGGGGACTTCAAAGTTCAATTCTTCAATCCTTCAAAGTCTTCAGGTTCCTCCAAACCAAAGCATTAAAAGTCTTAAGCAGGGAAATATGAGTTGGATATCAGAAAGTTGTTTATGGAAAGAGCGATAAAGAGTTGTAAAGAGTGATAAGAAAAGAGTGGAATGGTCTGCCCGGGGAGGTGATGGAGTCACCATCCCTGGGTGTGTTTAAACAAAAATTGGATGTGGGACTGGGTGCTGTGGTTTAGTTGAGGAGTCAGGGCATGGGTTGGACTCCATGATCTTGGAAGTCTCTTCCAACCCTGGTGATTCTGTGATTCTGTGATTTCATGATTCTGTGATTCTGTAATTCTCTGTGATTCCATAATTCTGTGATTCCCTGATTTTGAGTGATATTGGGTCATGGAATCAAAGTCAGAATGTATAAAAAAAACCTGGAAGATTCAATTTTTAGAAATTCCCTTAATAGCAACCGCTATAAACCCAAATGAAAAGTTTTAATTTTTTTATGTTCATCTTTAACGTGCTGGTCAGGAGTTCTCCCATCAGGAATCTCATCCATGGCCAGCAGAGCCCATCCTGAGCTGCAAGGGACCCACAGGGACATCGAGTCCAGCCCCTGGCCCTGCCCAGGACACCCCAAAAACTCTGATTTCCCTTCCCACTTCCTTCAGGGAGGATGAAGAGGCGTTCCCTGGGTGTAATGGATATTAAACCCAGRGCTGGATGTGCCAGGAGGAGATTTGCTGGGGTGAGGTCAGGCTGGGAGCTGTAATCAGTTAAAGTGCTTCTCTCAGCCCTCTATTGGGATGCCCTCGGGTTCATCCCTTACTGCCTGAGGTCATCCTTTCTCTCCAGTAAATTTTCCTGAAGTTCATTGTGGTGGCAAAGACCAAATCCAATCTGTTTGACCCCCCCCAATTATTTCATCCAGAGAAGACATTTCTATAAACACAGGGATGATTGTTCCCTGTGATTGTTCCCTGCCTCCTCCGAGCTGGAATTGCCAACATTCCCGGTTTTTGCCGGGCTGCTGGCAGGTTTGGAGCTCCATCCTGGGTGTCCCTGGTGTGCCARTGTCACTTCATTAGGCTGACACCGACACCTGGTGCTGCACTGCTGCTCCCAGGAGGCTGCACCAGCATCTGGCACACCCTGTGATCTTCTTTTATCTCTGCTTAATCTTTGTATCGATGGCTCGGAATTAAAAGGGGGCAGGAGCAAATCAAGGGGAAAATCAAAACGGCCAAGTTTGGGTGCAGCAGCAGAGMGGGGTTTGTTAGGGAGAGCAGCCACACTGTGCTA